GGAGTCCCGGCCTCGCGGCCCCCGCCCCAGCCACCCCGTCCTAGCCTCCGCCCGTTTGTTTTCACGCGCCCGGAGGCGAGATCCGCGTCCACCCCCAGCTCCCCGGCGCTCGCCGGCTGGCGGAGCCCGGAGGCCGCTCGCTACGTGCAACCGGCGCCTCCGAACCGCCGCGCGGTAGCCTTAGCCCGGCCTCACGGGCGCCGCTTGGGGAGGCTCTGCCCGGCGTCCAGCTGGTCGCCCAGGGAGTGATGCTCACTCGGTCCTCCAGGCCCGGGGCCTTCCCCAGTCTCTGACTTCCTGTTCTCGGCCAGCAACCTTTCATTCATTCCCTAGATGTGCAGGGTGGTGCCACCCGGGTTCACGACTGACCCATCCTCCAGGTGCTGCCTGTCCTGCAGGGCCAGAAAATAAACATGCCCAGGCCTCAAAGCAAGGTTTGAATCCCAAACTCTGCCACTCACTAGCCTGTGACCTTGGGCTATATATTTGATCTTGGAATCTCAGGTTTCCTCGTCTGTAAAATGGGGTAATACCCTCCTAGAGTTGTGGGAACGTCTCCAGATGTAATAATTCAGGTAAAGCATCTTAACACAGAGTCTGGTACAGACTAAGTAAGGGCAGATGAAAGTGTTTGGGGGAGTTAGGCAAGACTTCATGGAACAAGGGGCATTTGGCCAGAGCAGCAAGGATGGTCGCCTGCAGATACTCAGAGGTGGAATAGGAATGGTTTCTTCAGAAGAAGGAAAAAGTGGGAACCAGTGTGGAATTAATTGGGCTACTAGGCTGGGAATTAGATTAGTCCAAAGCTAGACTCCACTGTCCACCAGCAGAAGCTCTGACCAATTAATCACAGTGGTAGGCAAATTTTGGCTGCACATCCCATCTGTCCAGTTTTTGTGTGGTCCATGTGTATAGACTGTTGAGTTTTCTTTTTTTCTTTTTTAAAGGTATTACTCACAAAATATTGGGTTGTTGGAAAGTTCGTGGCGTGTTTTTCTTTTTTTTTTTTAAAGAACTATTTATTTTGGCAACAGCAGTTAGCATGATGGCTGTGTTGCTCTGTGTGTGTGCCCAAGATCATGAGAGGAGAAGGGATTGTAGTGTGGCCACCCCCCCAGGGGAGGATTTCTCACTTTCTGTCTCTCTACCTGTCTCTGTCTGTCTGGCGAGTACACATGCCCTATAGCAGAAACCTCTCCAAGAACAAACAAACAAAAGAACTTTATTTAGTTCCGTTTGTTGTTGTTGTTGTTATTATTTTTTTGGAGAGGTTTCTGCTATAGGGCATGTGTACTCGCCAGACAGACAGAGACAGGTAGAGAGACAGAAAGTGAGAAATCCTCCCCTGGGGGGGTGGCCACACTACAATCCCTTCTCCTCTCATGATCTTGGGCACACATGCACACGTGCCCGGCGTGAGTTTTAAGCCACCGGGTCCACGACTCGAACTGTGGTCGGCTCCATGGGAGTTTGGCGACATAGCCATTATGCTAACTGCTGGTCCCTGTTGTTAATTATTTTTAAGAGTTATTTATTTAATTCCATTTGTTGTTATTTTTAAATTTGACTAGAGAGAGAAAGGAAAAAGGAGAAAGCAAGCTGCCAGGTCTGGGACTTTAACCATAGTGAGCCACGTGGGAATCCAGTGCCTTTAACTGCTATGCCACCTGCCTGCCCCGTTATTGTTATATTTTAAATTTGATCAGACAGAAACAGAGAGTTAGGGAAAGCAAGAAAGCAAGTCGCCAGGTCCGGGACTCAAACTGCTGTTGGCCATGTGGGAATCCAACGCCTTTAACCACCATGCCACCTGCTGGCCCCCATGACATGTTTTTCTATGCAAAAATGTATCATGAGTTTTCTGGCAACTTAGTATAAGCCACCTACTTAAGCTGTACAGTTCAGTGCTTTATATGCGGAGTGGTGGGACTATCACCACAGTCACATTTTAGAATATCATCATCACGCTCTAAAACAAACTCCACATCCTTCAGGTGGCACTACCCAATCTCTCTCTCCGACCCAGCCCTAGGTGACCAGTAACGTTTTTTGTCTCTATGGATTAGCCTATTCTCGGCATTGTATATAAGTGGAATCATATACTATATGTCCCTTTGTGACTAACTTCCTTCATTTAACATAATGTTTAAGTTGAGAGAGAGAGATAGGCACACCTAAGAGGTTTTCATGCCATAATCCACCCCTAGCCTTAGCCGTAAATCATAGAAACACACCCAGTATGTAAGGTCAGCTTCAAGACAAGGGCCCTCCTGTGTAGGCCAAATATCACAGAGCATACCATCTGGCCTGGTCTTCACACGTTCTAAATGGCTGGCTGGAAAAAATATTTCATGATACTCAAAAAGCACACGAAATTCAAATGTCATATGATTCAAAATAAAGTTTTATTGGAACACATTCTTACTCTCTGAGGTATTATAGTAATTGCTATGGAGATTCTAAGGCTGTCAAAACCTAGAGTATTTACTGTCTGGTCCTTTTCAGGAAAACTTTGTCAGCCCCTTTGTTAGCACTTGGTCATTAGTCTCAACTTTCCTCCTCATCCTTTGCTGTACGTGTTACTAGCGATGCTGCCATGTTGGCAGTTTTATTTGTCACCTTCCAGTCCTGTTAAGCAGAACTGTTCGTCTCCATTGAGACTAAAGCCTCTGGAATTGAAAAACCATGTGGTTGCCAGAAAAATCTAATGCACTCTTAATAGAGTATCTAGAAAGAGGGAGGGGATGGACGTGGTCTGCTCCATGAGAGACAGAACATACCTTGAAATTTGTTGTTCTAAAACTACTTTAAATAAGGACAGGTGCAAGCTGTGTAGTAGTCCAGGGGACTGGGCCATGTTTTGTTTGTTCCAGAGAAGAGAATCCATCAGAGACAGGAGCACTGCCTGCATGTCTTACCTGAAGTGTCATTACTGGGTCAGAGGGGAAGGGTGAAGCTGTTGTTTAAACTAGTCTTTTTTTTTTTTTTTTTTGAGAGGTTTTTGCTATATGGTGTATGTGCTTGCCAGAAAGACAGAGAGAAACGGAGAGACAGAAAGCAAGAAATCACCCCTCAGGGGAGATGGCCACACCACAATCCCTTCTCCTGGTTCTTGGCAGGGCCAGGGTATTTCTCCGGCTCTTTCTCATCTGAAAGGGCCGTTCTCCATTCTTCTCTTGGGATCTTGGGCATGTATGCACACGTGCCTGGCGTGAGTTTAAGCTACCGGGTCCAGGACTTGAACTGTGGTCAACTACATGGGAGGCCAGCAACGTAGCCATTATACTATCTTTTGGTCCCTAAGGTAATCTTTTGTCCCAGAAGGTTCAGGGCTACTAGCCATTCCCTCTTTATTTATTTATTTATTTATTTGGAGAGGTTTTTGCTATAGGGTGTGTGCGCTCACCAGAGACAGAGAGAGACAGAGAGATAGAAAGCGAGAAATCACACCCCAGGGGGGATGGCCACACCGTAATCCCTTTTCCTCCATTCTCCTCTTGGGATCTTGGGCATGTATGCACACGTGCCTGGCGTGAGTTTAAGCTACCGGGTCCAGGACTCGAACCATGGTCTACTACATAGGAGTTCAGTGACATAGCCATTATGCTAACTGCTGGTGTCCCCCCTCTTAAAATGTAGTAGAAGCAGCTGGAGCTTGAAAACAGTAACCTCACACCTTTCATGATTTCTTCAGTCCAGTGAGTTCATTTAACATCATCCTGGCCTAATTTAGCCCAGTCTGTTTGTTTTGTAGAGCTATTTGTGTATTTTTCTTTTGTAAAAGTCTTACTTTCAGATGAGAAAGGGCCGGACAAATACCCTGGCCCTGCCAAGAACCAGTCAGGAGGTTTATTGTTTGCTGTGGCTGGAACTGTGGGCCTGCAGTGAGACTTCCTGCCCAGTGACTAGTGCTGTTTCAGGCTGAGTGGGAGATACTGGTAGTATTCCCTGGGGTGGTGAAGATGCAGTTTCCAAAACTGGATAAGTGGGTGCTTTTGGTGCAGCCCAGGGCATGGGCCTACAGGATTTATGGCATTCTCACAGAATTCTTAGAAGGTTCCCGAAGACAGTTCCCCTTGTCGACAGCACAGATTTGCCTCTGGAGTAAGCAGGCACTTTCCTTACTGCAGCTGCTGGTATAGTGAGCTATGTGTTAAGCATCCCCTCCCTGGGTGTCAGCTTGAGACAGTTTAGGAAAACTCTCTTCCCATCCTGGACATGCAAGTCAAGTTGAGGCATAGATGGGAGTAGAGACGCCTTTCAGTCCACCTCCTTGAAACTCTGGTGGAAGCAAGGACTCTCCTAGCTAGCTGGCTGTCCTTAGGTCCTGAGGCCAAGTGCCGTTTCTGGCCTTACTGAGCAGAACAGTAATCCGTTGCTTTCTGTGTTTTCCTCTTCCAGGCCATCAGTTCACTCCCTTGTAGCAGTGAAATTAAAAAGTACAGCAAACTTGCCTTTTGAGCCTTAACCTGAGGTACTAGGTCCAGGTTTCCTCTTGAAATCCAGAGTGAAGACTGAGGAGAAGATTGCCTTTTTTTTTGAAGTTGCTTTAAAAAAAAAAAAAAAATTGTTATTTGGGGCCAGCAGGTGGTGTGGTGGCTAAGAGTGCTGGACTCCCACGTGGCCGACTGTGGTTCAAGTCCCAGACCTGGTGGCTTAACTTTCTCTCTCTCTCTCGGTCACTCTGTTCCTCTCTGGTCAGATTAACAATAAATAAGTAAATGCTAAATAAAGTAATTTAAAAAATAATAATTATTTAACTTTATTTATTTACTTATTTATTTTAATTTGACCATAGAGGGACAGAGCAAGATCAAGAGAGAGAGAAAGAGAGAGTAAGAAAACAAGTTGCCAGGTCCAGGACTTGAACTGCGGTCGGCCATGTGGGAGTCCAGTGCATTTACCTGCCAGCCCCTTGGAGGTTGCTTTTAACTGTGCTGTGAAAAGTGATGGCTATCTTTCAAAGCTTTCTTTTGAGGCTTTCCTGGTTTATGTGGGATTAGTAGGAAAAGTAGGCCAACATAATGGTCGTGACCAGTAAATCCATAGGCCTGGCAGTATCTCTTACCGTATCTCATCCTTTTGCCTATTGCCAATCTGGGTCTCCTGGGAAGCACTGGGCTATTTGCTTTGCCTTTCCAGAAAGCCATTGATCTGGTGACGAAAGCCACAGAAGAGGATAAAGCCAAGAATTACGAGGAGGCGCTCCGGCTCTACCAGCATGCGGTGGAGTATTTCCTCCATGCTATCAAGTGTGAGTTGCAATTGGGGCCCTCCTGGTTGCAGGACCCTGCAAGAGAGTGGGTACACAAGGCTTACAGGGGCCCCTCTCTGGTCTGCCTTTTGTAGATGAGGCACACAGTGATAAGGCCAAGGAGAGTATTCGAGCTAAGTGCATGCAGTACCTAGACCGGGCAGAGAAGCTGAAGGATTATTTACGAAACAAGGAGAAGCACGGCAAGAAGCCAGTTAAAGAGAATCAGACCGAGGGCAAGGGGTAAGTATGCAGGAGTAGACTGCTGTCCCCTGATGGACTAGAGCCTTCAAGTGCATGTTCCCTCTTTCTGTGTCACTGTCATTGATGGTGCCTTCCTCGTGGGGAAATCTACTCATAAGAGTAATACTACCACTAGCTGCTTTCATTAAGCAGTTTGTAGAATACCCTTACATGCATCATCTCATTGGATCTGCTCAATGAAAGCTCTAGGTGAGATGGGGAGCCTCGCATGGAGGTTATAAGCCTTGGACTCTCCAGCCAGACTTTCAGGCTATCAACCTGGCTCTGCCACTGTTTGGCCGTGTGACTTTGGACAAGTGCCATGACCCCCTGTGCCTCATCTCAGAAGAGGGAAGACAGCAGACTTCCCTCCCAGTGTTGCTGTATGGAGCGAATGAGGTGATGTGGGTAAAGCCCTTAGAATAGAGAGCTTGGCACAAAGTTAGCATTCTGTGCATGTGAGTTGCTATGACTCTCAAAGAAATACCATCTTCATTTGACTGGGGAGACAGCAGACTAAGAGGTTAAGAGAATTGCCAAGGTCAGAGGGCTAGTACATGGTGGAGTCTGGACACACATTCAGGGCCTCTTTTTGATTCCAAGGACAGCATTCTCTCCACAGCCTCCTACCTCAGGCCTGGTATTCTCCCACCACAGTGATTCCAGTCATCTGAGCACTAATGCTGGTGGCATCTGGGTAAGGGGAGGGGCTGCAGAGCAGACAGGTCATAGAGGGGAGAGGCAAGTAGTGTGTCAGCCTCCCGGATAAGGGTACATATCCATGTTCTAATTCTCCAGAACAAGACATGCACCTAGAGAGGGACAGGAGGCTAGGGACCTCCAGGAGGAATGAGAGAGTTCTGAGGACGGCAAGTAAATTAAGTCAGGAGAGACACGGGACACTGGATGAGAGTGGTTACTGTCTTCTCTCCAGGTGTTCTCTTTAGATTAAAAAGAACATTTTGATCTGCTAGAGGGCTTGTGTGCTTGCCAGAAAAGGGAGAAGATACCCCATACTGGGGCATGGCCATGCCACAATCTCTTCTCCATATCTCCATACATGGTGGAGTCTGGACACACATTCAGGGCCTCTTTTTGATTCCAAGGACAGCATTCTCTCCACAGCCTCCTACCTCAGGCCTGGTATTCTCCCACCACAGTGATTCCAGTCATCTGAGCACTAATGCTGGTGGCATCTGGGTAAGGGGAGGGGCTGCAGAGCAGACAGGTCATAGAGGGGAGAGGCAAGTAGTGTGTCAGCCTCCCGGATAAGGGTACATATCCATGTTCTAATTCTCCAGAACAAGACATGCACCTAGAGAGGGACAGGAGGCTAGGGACCTCCAGGAGGAATGAGAGAGTTCTGAGGACGGCAAGTAAATTAAGTCAGGAGAGACACGGGACACTGGATGAGAGTGGTTACTGTCTTCTCTCCAGGTGTTCTCTTTAGATTAAAAAGAACATTTTGATCTGCTAGAGGGCTTGTGTGCTTGCCAGAAAAGGGAGAAGATACCCCATACTGGGGCATGGCCATGCCACAATCTCTTCTCCATATCTCCATTCTGTCAGGATTTGGGGCACATGCACCTGGTATGTTTCTCAAGCTGCCTGGGGACCAGGATTCTAACTGCAAGTTTGGACATATGGGATCCAGCTGCTTTAACCACAGGCCATAGGGCTGGCCCTAGATTTAAACCTTACCCTCTTCCCATCCCCTGGCATGTGATCATTGTGGAGTCACGCCACATGTTTTCTGTTCTGAGTCTGTATGGAAGGCTCCTGACACCCACTTGTGCTTGACTGGCAGCTCTTGAAGTCCAGCCAATGTACGTGTCTCTCACCAGTCTTTAGGAGAGGCAGGTATTTCTATTCTTATTCCCTTAATGAAGGGACAAGGACAGGTTTTGAGCATTTCCTGAATGATCCAGAGGTGAGTTGCTGAGAATGTGAAGCCTTGATGTCCTTGAAGTCCCTGCTTGCTGTTCACTCACCCCTGCTGAGAAACTTCTTTCTGGGCTAAAAACCAGCTGTGATCTTCTGTCTCCTTCTCCAGCAGTGATAGTGACAGTGAAGGGGATAATCCAGAGAAAAAGAAACTACAAGAACAACTGATGGGTAAGAGGCTCAGACCCTGAAGCAATGGGATGGGATGCGACCTGGGTGCACTGTGGGTCAGAACATGCTCATGGATCAGGCCCTGGGCCTCCTTCCTCTCACAGGTGCTGTTGTGATGGAGAAGCCCAACATACGGTGGAATGATGTGGCCGGGTTGGAGGGGGCCAAGGAGGCCCTTAAAGAAGCTGTCATCTTGCCAATTAAGTTCCCACACTTGTTCACAGGTATCAGTTGAACCACTTTCAGCCCAGATGTAAAAATGCTGAGTTTCTGCTGGAACCAACTTGGGGCTCCAGCTCCAAGTCTCCAGAGCAGGTGGCGACTAGGTTCCCTCAGCCCACAGAGGGTGAGAGCCTTGCCATGTACCTTCAGTCAGGAGAAGCCCAAGGCCTGCTCACCATGGTAGTCTACTCTGTGGCTTCTCACTGGTGCCAAAGCACCTTTGTGACTACAACTTTGAGTAGCCACCCTGGTGGATGGACAGGATGTCTGAGCCAGTACCAGCCAGTGTCATCCTGCAAGGTTGTGGGGATCCTTAGCTAGGGCTGGGACTGAGTAAGCTCTTAGCAGGGACTGGGTTCTTGTTACCTCTTTGCTCCTCGAATTCATTGTTTTATAGAACTTCTCCTTTCTTGCTGTATTTACAGTGATTAAAGATCTTTTACTTTCTTTTTTGTTCCCTTTCCTGGATTAGGAAGAAGCTGACTTCGGTTTATTCTTTATTGTAGGCAAGCGTACCCCTTGGCGGGGGATACTGCTCTTTGGACCCCCTGGTACAGGGAAATCCTACCTGGCCAAAGCTGTGGCAACAGAAGCCAACAACTCCACCTTCTTCTCTGTGTCTTCCTCAGACTTGATGTCTAAGTGGTTGGGGGAGAGTGAGAAGTAAGTCAGCCACCAGGCAGTTCTGCTCGCAGCCCTGGCAGCTCACTGTCCCTTAGTGTCATCTCCCAGAGGAGCTGCTGGGTTGGTTGGTTGTAATGATAGCATGTGTGCACATGAGAGAGGAGAAAGAATGGAGCACCCTGATGGAGTCTTGTCACAACTCAGTCCCCTTTCCCCAGTCCTCCAGCTCCTCAGGAGCCTAGACTTCCATGCACATATTTGGTATGTTTCCAGGCCAACCAAGGGATCCAAACTGACAGTCACCTAGCTTCCAGCCTTACAGGGCACTGGAGTAACCACTGTGCTCCAGTGGCTGGGCCAGGGGCTGCTGTTAGATATTCAGGGAGAGTAGCCAGGAGAGCAGTGTCTTCTTAGCTTATTGGATGGGACACCGTCTTGACGAAGAGGTGAAGCTGAAAGGGAACCTTGGAGAGAGGAATTACTCAAGAAGGGAAGTGCCTACAGCTGAGTATCAGCTGGATGCCCTCTGCTAGGGCAGTCTAGGCAGTTCATTTACTCGCTACACTGGCTCCCATTTTGCAGACAATGGAACTGAGGCTCAGAGGAAGGCACATGGCTCATCATAAGTGCAGAGCTAATGAATGGGGCTCCCAGGATGTGAAGCTGACATCCAGGCTTGCCTTTCCTCTTAGTACAGTGCTGCCAGAGGACTTGTTACCTCCCTTTTCTACACTTGAAGCATGGCTGTGGTCTCAGCCTCCCTATGGGAAGGGTGAGAGGAGAGACATGGCGACTGGGACCCTGAGTCGGCATGTCTGCAGGCATCCAGATCCCACCCCATTTCTTGCCTCCACAGACTTGTCAAGAACTTGTTTGAACTGGCCAGGCAGCACAAGCCCTCCATTATCTTCATTGATGAGGTGGATTCCCTTTGTGGCTCCCGAAATGAAAATGAGAGTGAGGCTGCCCGAAGGATCAAAACAGAGTTCTTGGTCCAGATGCAGGGTATGTGCAAATCTCAGGCCCTTCCAGAAGCCTGCAGCTCCAATACTTGGCTGTGGCTAGATCTGATTGTCCTTGAAGTGGGGGAGATGCACTTCTTGGCCCCTTCTCCTCAGGCCTTTGATGGGTTCTCACTATAGGGATGTTCTGAGGCCTTTGCCCCACCAGCTACCTCTGCCTTTCCATGGAAGGCAATGCTTGCGTCTCTTCACTCCCTAACAAACCCAGATCAGGATAGGGCTTGATTCCAGTTGGGACCCTGCCAGTGGTGGCACAGGGATGGCTTCAGTTGATGACACACAAAGCCCCTGAGGTTTGTTCCCATAGGTTCTGACTGAGCCTTGCAGGTATCTTCAGAGTCAGTGTCTTATCTCCCTTTCTCCACAGGGGTGGGGAATAACAACGATGGGACTCTTGTTCTTGGTGCCACAAACATCCCATGGGTGTTGGATTCAGCCATTAGAAGGAGGTGAGCCTTCCCCATAAAGGCTGGGGGCTGAAGTCATGCCATAGCCATGGTCCACCTCTGCTGCTGGTCTGAGTGCAGCTGGACCCCATTTCTCAGTAGACTTCCCATCTGTGGAGTAGTCATGATAAAGCCACTTCCAAGGGGGCCATGCCGCCCCTTCCATGAAGACCATTCCATCATATAGTCAACTCTTGCCATGTACTTGGCTCCCCAGGTTTGAAAAGCGAATTTACATCCCATTGCCAGAGGAAGCTGCGCGTGCCCAGATGTTCCGGTTGCATCTAGGGAGCACACCTCACAACCTCACAGACGCCAACATCCACGAGCTGGCCAGGAAGACAGAAGGCTACTCAGGTGCAGACATCAGCATCATTGTGCGGGACTCTCTCATGCAGCCCGTCCGAAAAGTGCAGTCAGCCACACACTTCAAAAAGGTGAGTGGCCAGCAAGCAGTGGCTTAGAAAGTGTCATAAGCCAGAGGGATTTGTGGTTTTCTTTGCTAGCTTCCTGGTCTTGCTCCTTGGCTGCTCAAGTGGCAAGGTCTCAGTCTCCTTGAGAACCAAGGGCAAGTGCCATGTAGGCCCTCTGGCTCAAGGGGGCAGAGTTGCACCGGCTATCCCTACCCTGCAGTTCCTGTGTCATTGTGACCATCTCAAAACTGAAACCATAGCACAGGACACCTCTGCAGCCTCCTTGATCAGCACTGTGCTCTTGTCATGGTGGACACCAAATAAATGTTTGAAAGTGCTAGATTTAAGATTACCAGTTGTGGGACCAGCAGTTAGTGTAATGGCTATGTCACTGGACTCCCATGTAGTTGACCGCGGTTTGAGTCCCAGACTCAGTGGCTTAAACACATGCTGGGCTCATGTGCGTGCGTGCCCAAGATCCCGAGAGGAGAATGGACTAGGAGGGATTGCAGAGTGGCCATCCCCCCGGGAGTCTCTGTCTCTCTCTGTCTTTCTGGCAAGCACACGTGCCCTCTCAAAAAGAAAAAAAAAAAAAAAAAAGATCACCAGTTGTAAGGTCTCAACATTCAGGCACATCTGTGCTAAGTGTTTGTTGTCAGTCCCACTATGTGCCAGACACTATCCTAGATGCTAGGAGACAAGTAATGACCACAGCATACAGAAACCCTTGCCTTCTGTTTCCTAGTGGGGGAGACAGACAATAAACAGAATAAATACTAGCTTCTTAGAGGGTGAGGAGATGGGGTAAGATAGAGCAGGGTCAAGATGATTAGGAGTTGCAGACATTTGGAGGGACTGGGCATTTTACTCTTAAAGGACAAGCCCCATTGGAGTGACATTTGAGTTGAGAGTTGAAGGAGGTGAGGGAATGAGCCTTGGGGATATTCAGAGGAATGTTTTTAACAATGCAGCAGACTTCAGTTGGAATCAAAATGTCAGGGAAGTCATGACACATTTTTACACAGAAAAATGTGTCATGACTTTCCCAACTACACACATACACACACACACACACACATTATATGAAGGTTTATTTTCTCCATGAGTGAGAGATAGGGAGATGACACCTCTATCAGTGTTGACACCATGGTCCACTCCCAACTTTAGCCTGCACTGATCATGGGCACGTGTGCCCAGCATATTCATGGAGGTCTCTGGAGGCAAACCTAGAACCTTCCTACATGGGTCAGCCTCACAGAGCATTACATTTTACCACTGTCCCTCCATTTGGCCCCATAAAAATGTTTTTGATGTCACTGTACTTGGAGTCAGATTTGCTGGCATGTACGAGGAAGACATCAAGGCATTTGCAGCTACTATTTTAGATTTGGAGAACAGTGGCTAGTACAGAATGCTGATAACAAGTCCCTGGAGTCAGACTGCAAGCCACATTGACTACTCAGTTCAAAGGAGCCCATCCCTTCTTAGATCCTGATGTCTTAGAAACCCTATAATTACTTTCTCCTTAAGATATCCTTGGAGGGGCCAGCAGGTGGCATGGTGGTTAAGGGCACTGGACTCCCACATGGCCAACCCGGGTTTGAGTCCTGGACCTAGTGGCTTGCTTTCTCACTTTCTCTCTCTCTCTCACTCCCCCCCCTCCTTCCCTCTGTTCAAGTTAAAAATGAACAAATAAATAAAGTTGAATAAAATCATTCTTAAAAGAAATGTCCTTGGAAATCTGAAGTGTCCTGCCCCTACCCCACACACTGAGGGGCAGCCACTCCAGCCATATTCCTATCTGGTTTCAGGTCTGTGGCCCTTCCCGCACCAACCCTAGTATTATGATTGATGACCTCCTGACCCCATGCTCACCAGGGGACCCGGGAGCCATGGAGATGACTTGGATGGACGTCCCTGGTGACAAGCTCTTAGAACCTGTAGTTTGCATGGTAAGTGACCAGCTAGGAATGAGGACTGCACAGAGCCCAGATATTTGGGGGCTTGGGTCCAAAACAGAAATAAGCTTCTCTCATTGTGTCCTGGACCACTGGCAGCTCCTCCTGGAGAATAGCCCTGCAGCTCTGAGTAGCCAGAGCTTCTGCTGTTACATTCAGCAGAGCCCAGGTTGGCTGGGAGGCAGGGACATTATCATGTTCTCTTCTTCAGCAAGAAAAAAGTCCAGCTAATGGGGCTTAGTCATCCCTTAGGTTTGGCTTACTTGGTACATGGCAGGAACTAGTATGTTGGCATAGTCTGACCTGATGCAGTTGTGCAGGCAGCCAATCACCCAGATAGTTAGGACCTCTTGTTCTCTTAGTCTTGCCAGTTGTCCTGGCAGTTGTCTGCCTAATGGCTGGAGTGGTGGGTGTGCAGTTAAGGAAAATTCTAGTAGGAGTTACAAGACGATAGAGCATAGATTCTCTCAGACTAGAAGTAGATCTGGAAATGATGTGAGCTGCTTTGGGAGGGAGAGTCCTTGCCATAGGCAGATTCAAGGGGACACCTGTAGGGAATTATTGAGGGGTGACCTTGAAGGCAGGCCTCTCTCCACCCTGTTCTGCACTGTTCCATGGTGAAGGGATGCTGAGGAACTCGGGCCTGGCTCCTTCTCAGCTGTGTGCTCTTCTTTGTAGTCGGACATGCTCCGGTCTTTGGCCACCACTCGGCCCACAGTGAATGCAGATGACCTCCTGAAAGTGAAGAAATTCTCAGAGGACTTTGGACAAGAGAGCTAAAAGCTTCTTCACTTGGATGATGGTGAAGGTGGGAGGTTGACTGGAGCAAATCCACAGCAGCCCCCATGCTAGTGGCTACAGAGTCCCAGGGCTCATCCTAAAGTCACTACAGCATCCCCTCTGCTGTCTGGCCTGGAAGGGCCTCTGCAGCCACAGAGACGCTCAGCCGCATGGGTGGCATGGTGGATCCTGGCTCTTCCTTCTTCCTCCTCTTCTCTCCTGGATGCTCACCAACTCCTTTGCCTGTCCCTCCATGTCTTCATTTTTTAAAAGTCTGTTTTGTTCCCCTAAATCAATGCTGCTTGGATTTTCGTCTCATTTATATGTAAAGATAAACTCTCCAGAGGTGTGTCAAGGAACAGAAACAGCCGTGCTGCAGGGCTGGCGCATCAACTTCCAGACAGCTGGCCCGGCCCCACCGACCCTCTTCCTTGTAGGCCCAAGTTTTGTTTCTTGAGAAGAGATTGGCTGATCCCCCTAGGTCCCAGCCCAAGCTCTGCCTGTGAAGACTGAGTAAGACTAGCCATCCCCACCCTCCAGGTTTGCATCCAGGACCCTGCGTCTTCCTGCAGGAGGAGGAGATGGTTTTTGTGAGCACAAAGCCGTTTTTGTTGGAATGAGGAAAGCGGGCAGGAGAGTTTTCACTGTTGCTTTTTCCTCCTTTGAGTGTGAGAACACTGAAGCCAGCCACTGCTCCTGCTCCCTGTCCTGGAAATGGTCTAATAAATCCTTTTCCCTTCTTGAGCCACCTGAGTGGTCTCATTTTTGACTCTTATCTGGACCTGTGTGAACTCACCTATTACTCCCTTAAAAAGATCTTTCTCTTCTAAATTCAGTAGAGTAGGAGAGAGGTAGGAGTGCTGATTTACAGACTCCCTTAGGTCAGAGTTTGGCATGGTTTTTCCAGATGAGAACATACAAACTGGGAGGTTCTTGAGTCCTGGAACCTATAGCTTGAAAAACAAACACCCTGGGTATGTGATTTTGCATGCCCCAATTCCTGAAAGGTGGCAGAAACAGAGAGGAGACTGCAGCATGACCATTCCCCATGGAAGGTGCTTTCTTCCTTTCCCTCTGTTTCCAGTGAGCACATGTGCCCTCTGGCAAATTTTTTTAAATAAAAATAAACTACTCCTTGACCCAGGACCATTCTGTCCTGTGTTTTACTTCTACAAGCAAATTCTGACAACCAAGGACATGCAAGACCTTTGTAAAAAGAACTCAGCAAACATGGCCAACCACAACCTTAAGTTTTTAAATGCAGCTCTCAGAAAACTGAGGACCACAGTATGATTTATCAGGTCTTGACTTTGGGAGTAGATTGTCCAGATTTTCTTAAATCATTTCTTCTGAGAATTAATTTACGTGCCCACTTATCTCAACACAAAATTGTCAGGAAAGTCTACTTTCAAGGGGTTACATTTCTCTTTGAGTTGCAGACAATATTTTGTCTGTCTGTACTTGATTTCGGGGCAGGCATTTCTAACGCCTTTTCCAGCTCGGTTTGGCATACTTTGGGAGTCCACTGTTGTCTGTCAGATCAGAGCTAATACAGACACAAGGAAAGTGTGCCCGGCTCAAAGCCGAAGTATTTGCTTCTTGATTCCAGCGAGAAAACTTCAGTCATTCACCTCCATCCAGTGGATATTTGTAAATGTCCTGCTGTCCATTTTATCAATGAACAGGCACCCCTGCAAATGGTCCATCTCATGCTGGATGATGCGGGATGCCCAGCCACTGGCCTGCCATACCACCTGCTCTCCTCTTGGGTCCAGCCCTGCAAAGGAAGTCACAGCCTGGGTGAGGGGGGGACACACAGAATTGCATCATTTTCAACCTACTTGCCCTGTTCAAACCCATTTATTGGAGCTGGAAGGTGGCATGGTGGTTCAAGGTGCTAGATGTCCACATGGACAACCACAAGTCCCAGACCTGGTGGCTTGCTTTCTCACCTTCCCTCTCTCTCTGATCAAACTGAAAAATAATAATAAACTAAAAATAATTCTTAAGGAAAAAAGAAAAAGGGACTCCATTGACTTTGACCCTCTAGGACCAAGCAAGGGGCTTGCTCAAGAGGAACAATTACCCCAACCCTAGCAAGGAACCACATTCTTCTGCACAACATACCAAGTCTGACATCGGGAATGGCTTATCACCTTGGGCTGGGCACCATAACCCATCTAAATGATGAAGAAAGTATGTGTGTCAGAGACTGACAGGGAGTGGGGGTGTGTGCCTAAAGCAGAGTCTGGTGTGTGGGCTAACAGCAGAACTGGGACACACTTCCAACTCGCATCTCATCTGAGCCAGCCGTTTACAAGAGTCTCCCTCATCACAACCTGCCAGTCTTGAGTCCCATCCATGCCTAGATTCTGCTCTGTCCCGGTGGAAGTCTCCGCTGATTACAATCAACACTCTCACTGGAGTGTTCATCCGCTCCAGGGCCGCCCCAGGATTCCGCCGCTCGCACCTGATATCTGCACGGCCTGGAAACGGGGCACGTAGGCCAGGAAGCCGGCGACGCTCTCGCAGCCCTCGGGAAAGGTGACCAGGCGACTGTCCAGCACCCGTAAGCTAGGGTTCACGAACACACGCAGGGGAAAGGGCTCCATCTGGCGAAGCTGGCGCAGGCGCGGCGAGCAGGCGCGGCACAGCGCCTCGGGGAGTTCCAGGGCCAGAACCTGCAGCGGCACCCCGAGCTGCGGCGCACTCAGGCCCACACAACGCCGCCGCCGCATCACCTGCACCAGCCGCTGCACCAGCCGCTGCAGCTCGGGCCCCGAAATCTGCGCTGGCTCCACCGGGGCCGCCACAGTCCGCAGCACCGGATCCCCAACCTGGCACACGTGCGAGTATGGCGGCTCTGGCGCTCCCTGCACTAGACGCTTCACGTAGCTCCAGTAGGAGCGCTGGCGCGCGGGGCCCTCCGGGCCGTTCGTGGAGCTGCAGGCCCGAGCGCCACTAGACACAGGCCCCCAGGCCCCCGG